CACAGCCTCCTCGTGGACGGCTGGGTGAGCTAAGGAGGCTGCGAACATCGGACCATAATGCGTCCGTAGTAAAGCAACAAAGTGCGCAGTAAAGCAAGGCCCAGGGGCGTGGCAGGAGTCACGTCCTTCCCCAGGCTGGAACAGAGGGCAGGTTTCTGAGTCCAGAAATCACAGCCATGAGATGGAGATGGAGTGCATCCCATTATCTGTCATCCATCCATGTGTTCATCTGTCTGTCCACCCATCCATCTGTCCATCCTTCCATCATCCACCCATCCTTCTGTCCATCCATCCACCATCCACTCATCCTTCTGTCCATCCATCATTCACCCATCATTCTGTCCACCCCTCCATCATCCACCCATCCATCTGTCCATCCATCATCCTCCCATCTGTCCATCCATCATTCACCCATCATCTGTCCATTCTTCCATCATCCACCCATCCTTCTGTCCACCCATCTGTCATCCACCCATCCTTCTGTCCACCCATCCATCATGCACCCATCCTTCTGTCCACTCATCATCCACCCATCCGCCTGTCCATCCATTCGTCATTTACCCATCTGTCTCTCCATCCATCCATTCACCCATCATTCCTCATCCATTCATCTTTTCCATCCATCCACCTGTTCTTCCAGCTGTTCTTCCACCCATATAGTATTTACTGAATTCCTACTCTGTGCCCTGATTCTCCTGGAGTTCAGGAAGCTTCTGTGGGCTAAACTGATGCCTCCCTACTGGCTGTCCTGTTCCAGTGGTTTCCTGCATAGCTGCTGACCATGACTGTGACCATGACCAGCAGTGCAATGGGGAGGGGAGGCAAAGGCCCCCAAGAGGACAGGATAAAAACTAGAATCCAGTGTTCTGGGAGGCACATGGAGACGGTGTCACTTGAGCAAGGATGGCAGGAGATCAAGAGGGGGCACTCAGCAGTGTTGCATGGTGTCACACAGGGCTCTGGAGGTGGCTCCATCACCCAAAATTTGATGCAGAGACAGCACCAGGGCACACAAGTGGAGACCACGAGACCCCAGGGACCCCAGCATTTGAGGACGGCTGCCTAGAGCTGCTCTGTGGACAGCAGTGACAGGAGCAGGTGTCAGTTGGGACAGCCCCTGTGGACAGTGCCTTGAAGGGAGGAGAGGCATCGCCCGAGGCTGGCAAGGCCCTTTGGGCCCAGGAAGGTGCACGGCATGGTCTCCTCCCCAGGACAGGGAGCCCAACCTTGGTTCTCACCCAGAAGGTTTTATCTGCATCTTTCCATCCGGCCCCTGGGCTGCCCTGGTTCTCTCAAGTCAGGGAAGAGAGGTGGCTTTGCCTTTAGGTTCTGCTTCACTGCATGGCTGTGGGCTTTGTGGGGACACCAAGGCAGCTGGCTTGCTTGGGTTAGGCACAGGATCTGGAAGTCAATCAGCTGGCACAGGGTGGTGGGCAATCATGATGACTGCTGCTGGGTTCCCATAGACCAAGGTTGGTGACAGACAGGTGGGGAATCTCAGGGGGCTAACCCTTGGCCTCCAGCAATCCTGGCTTCCCCTGTGGATTCTTCAGGCCTCCAGGGCTGCTTCCATGGAGATGCAGCTGGGCTGGCAGTTGCTCATCTAAATTTCTGTTTGAGATTAGCAGAAGTTGGGTGTGGTGATCCATACATCTGTCATCCCAGCACCCTGGGAGGCTGAGCCAGGACGATTGTAGACTGTAAGTTTAAGCCCAGCCTGGGCAACTTAGTGCCTTAGCAAGACCTTGTCTAAAAATAAAAAATAAAATAAAAATGGGGCTAGGGATGTAAAAAAAAAAAAAAAAAAGTGAAAACAATCTTCAGGAATCCTTTGAAAATTATCCTTAAATTCTAAAAGTCAGTTCACTTCTTGGTCAGGATCCAAAAGCAAGGACCCATGTCCAAAATGTCATTGTCTGGAAAAACCAAGGTGTCATAATGCTGGGGGTGTGGCATGTGGACCTTGATCTTGAGGCTGGGGGGGGGGGTGTAACCTGGGGGCAGGGTGTGGCCTTGGCACCAGTGGCCGAATACTGCTTCCTGACCCTGCCTAGAAGGAAAGTCCTAGGGTCATCAAGGCACCTGTCCCTTTCCCTTTAACAGTGCCGCTGGGGTTCCAGGAGACTTCTCCCTTTCCTGTCACAGTGACTGCCCAGCACCTTGGCTCCAGCCAGGTTGCTCTGCCATTGGGACTCATCCTTAGGTCACAGGACAAGTGGGCAGTGGGGCTTGGTGGAGGGCTCTCAGCCCTGGGGACAGGATGCTTCACCTCACAGCAGGGGCAGGGCTTGGGCAGAGGGCTGCTGGGCGCCTGGCCGTGACTCCGGGCACCGTCTTCCTGGATGTTTTCTTTCATTTTCTCTAGAGATAGTCATTCGGAAAATTGCTAACAAAACAAAGTGAAGCTATAAAATCCCAAGGGTACGGCTGAGGATTTAGCTCAGCAATGTAAGTGCCTGCCTGGCAAGCACAGGGTTGTGAGCTCGATGCCTGGGACCGAAAAAACAAAAAGCCAAAAAACCTGAGGGTACACGTGACAACCTTGATCACTTGAAAAGCTGCATTTTAGCAATGACAGCCGGAAGCAAGAGGAGAAATCAGTGCCATCGACCCACACAGAGACCTTTCATCCCCCAGCCACCTTGGTTTTTGCAAGAGGACTGGAATTCTCCTTTGGCAAATACCCACCACTGTCACTAACCATCAGCTGCTGCATGCAGGGTCCACTTAGGAAGGATGCAGCCTGTGGAGATGCAGCTTGGGCCCTGAGCCTCCACTCCCGTCTCCAGCAGCCTGTGCCTACCCCACACAGTCCAAGCTATTCCAGTGTATGTCTGACCTGCCGCTAGTTACAGATTGGGTGTTTTGTTCACCATGAGTTTTCACATCGATTTTGATTTCTTAAATATCACATAATATTTCTCTAGATCCCTGAGTCGAGACTCTGATGAACCTCATCCTGGAGTGGCCTCACAGTTCTTCCAGTGTGTGCTTGGTCTAAAGCATGGGGGAGGCTGGGGTTAGCTCAGCGGCTGGAGCGCTTGCCTGCTCATTGTGAGGTCGTGAGTTCGATCTCCGGTACCAAAAAATAAATAAAATAAGTGAAGTTTGAAAACCAAGTCTCTTGAGGATCCTTCCCTCTGCTTAAACACACTTGACCCCTCGTGCATTTACACCGACTGCCACAGCTCCAGGTGCTGTTTCCTGGGGGCCGGCGGTTGTGCTGTCCTGGCTGCCTCATTGTTCACATAGGCATGCACAATCATGCACACATAAATACACACAAATACGCAAATACTTAATGCAAACACATGTTTTCTTTAAGTTCAGAACAAAGGAATAGGAAGCTAAATGCTAGGACAGGACCACCAGGAAACTCCAGCCAACTTGATAATCTTGTACTTTTAGTTTTACTATTCCAAAATACTGAAGGACAAGATTTTTGTATGACAGGACAGTGTTTAGGTTGCTCGGCCATTGGCAGTTGGACTTCTGCAGAAGTAGTGATTCCAGAAGCTTATAATATTCACGGAAAATCAACATCTCAAAGCACGGGATACAAGCCCTAGTTCAGGCCAGCACAGAGGAGGTTACTTAGGACAGCAGCTGGTCTCACTGTGAGATAAGGGTGCAGAATTCAGGGGTGGAAGCCACAATGCCTGACTCTCTACATCTGACATCTGTCTCCCAAGAGGCCAAGGATTTTTTTTTTTTTTTTGAGACAGACATTATGTAGTTCAGGCTGGCCTTGAACTTGAGGTGATCAGTCGGTCTGCCTCAGCTTCCTGAATGTTGGGGTTACAGATATAGGACATCCCCCTGTCGAGGGGCACAGTCAGAGTGCAGCCGCCAAACCCACCCAGGAACTATGGGCATCTTGGGAAATGGGATTTCAGGAGAAAAGTGAGGGTCTGGCATCCTAAAGGAGACTGAGGGGAAGACCAATCCCGTTTTCCCCCTGGGATCCACTGGGTTCCTTAGGGTCACGGAACTGCCTCCTCCCGGGACCTCCAGGTTCCCTGGTATTGGGGTCTGTACCCAGACTCCCGGTCCCCCTAATGGGTGCACGGTGAAGGCTCAAAGCAATGAGACACATGCCTGGTCTTCAGAGCATGGATCTTGGGAGGGGCTCAAGAACCCCTCAGAGCAACAGAGGTGCTAATTAAGGAAAACTATTCAGAAAGTCTTCAGGTGGCCTCAGCTGTGGCCTATCTTGCCCCCTGAGGTGTCTCCTCATTCTCAGTCAGCCATCCCCAGGCCTCACCACAGCCCTGCACTTGTATTCAGCTTCAATGCTGGCCAACACTCTGGCCCTGGGCCAGGTGGAGAAAGTGAGCCCATCCTGCCCCACACCCCAGACATGGTCCAAAGCTGGAGGCCTGGACTATTGCCCTCATTCCTGGCATTTCCCAGTAGCCTCCCTGCGGTTATTGCATAACCCGGACTTGGCTTCTGCCAGGCCACTGCCCAGGGCGCCAAGCTCCTGCTCCTGTGCGTGTGGCACCAGGCAGCTGACAGGACCCTGCACGCATCACAGCGTGAGCCAGTGGACCTGGGGCTCAGCTGTGCCCTTCGGGCTGTGACCAGGGCGACCTGTGCAGGTTCCGCAGCCCCAACGCTGACCTTGCAGAAAGAGTGCAAGTCTCTGCCCAGCTTCTGCAGTGACGTGTCCCCACCATAGGCCCATTGCCTGGGCACCGGGGCAGCCGGCTGCCATTGAGAAGTGGCCGGCTGTGCCCTAAACAGGCAGCTTCCCTGACCCTTCGGCGCCTCGGAGTGTACGCACATTGGGGTGCCCCATCCTCAGTGTCCCTGGTGACAGCAATAAGGAAAAAGCAGCAGTGTTTAATTAGGCTAAGATGCTTACTCAAAGTAAGCGGCTGGGAAAGGAAAATGGCACAAGCTCTAAGCGATTTACAATGTAGCGGGATCTGGGGCCCCGCCCTTCTGGTATTCCAGAGCGTGATTGGCAAGTGCTGAGTCATCCCGTGTTCACTGCGCATGTTTTTCCCATAATTCACTCTGGTGGAACGATGCGCGAGATGAAGTCCCTGTACGTGAAGGTGAAGAAAAGTCACTGTGGTTGTGCTGCCACGCCTGGCAGGCATGAGCCCTGTTCGGGACCCTGGCATTCTCCAGGCGTCTCTGTTTTTGTTGTGTTGCCTCTGGAGAGTCAGCCTTAGGACAGGGTCAGGGAGGCTGACCTGGAGCTGTTGCCCCGGTCTAGGTGAGCAGAGGGGAGAAGCCTGCAGCTCCGGCTCTGCAGTCTAGCCTAGGAAGACCACAGAATGGGCGGCTTCATCTCCTCTGGCGAAGGTCCGGACAGAGCACAAGACTGGAGGAAAGGCCTCCTCTGTCCTCAGGGCCTGGGTCCCTGGAGCTTCTGCCTCTTCGATTTGGACTCTGGGGCCAGCCCTCCCTATCAGCTGCCCTGCTCCTAGGATGCTTTGCCTGCCTGGATGTCCAGCTGCTGCTGGAGGATCGCGGGACTTCTCGGTACCTGTACCAAAGCTCTTCTTGTCTCTCTCCGTCCTGTGAACGCGGCGGTTCTATGGAGAATTACGGGTAAGGGAGGAAATGACCCACGGACTGCTAGGAGATGGTTCTGAGATCCAGTCCTGGGTCCCCGTGCCATGTGCTGGGATGGAGGGCCTCAGAGGCATGAACTTCCCGCAGCGCCCTTTTTTTGTCCTTCCCTCATCCCCTGGAAGTCAGCAGGCAGGCCGAGGGCCTCTGTTTAAGAGTAGCTAAGGAAAACGTCTCTGCGGAGAAAACATTTTTATGACCTGTGATTTTTAGACCCATTCTGCCTTGACTTGAAGGCTTTTGAAAGAGAGAAAGAGGGCCTTACCCATGAAGGGACCACAAAGACTGCCTCAGTCAGTTTCCGTCTTTTGGTTTTTGGCCTTGAACTTACTATGTAGCCCAGGCTGGCCTTACACATCAAGAAATTCCCCTGCCTCAGCCTTCCAAGTGCTGGGATTTCAGATATGTGCCATCACATCACTTTCGGGTGGTTGAGATCCAGTACCCTTACACATGAAAATGAAAGACAGGCTCAGTTGGGTTCCTGAGTACAGTTCTTGGCTGGTCAGCTCCCTGATAGAAACCATGGTGTAACGGCCTGGCGGAGGGGAGCTGCTCAGCCCACGGTGACCAGGAAGTAGAGAGAGGGAGGAGCCAGGAAGTAGAGAGAGGGAGGAGCCAGGACAAGAAGGCACCTTCCAGGTCACGCCTCCTGCAGCAAGCCAGCGACCTCATCCACAGGTGAAGAATCCAGGGATAGGTACAGTACCCAGGACAATGACTCCCAAAGCCCCGCCCCTGTAAGTTCTTGAGGCTAATGGTCCCAGTGACCTTGTCTCTTGTCTTATAGTAAAATGGCTCTCTGGAGCCCTGCCTGGAAGACTTGCTCTCTTATGTGGTCAGGGATTTTGTTATCTCCCATAATTCACCCGGGTGTGAGGAACCCAACCGAAATATGGGGAGCCCCAGAGGGGCCCTGCAGACGTGCCACACCGGTTCGGCTTGAGCAGCCCATCTCAGGACCCCTCGACAGTCCGGATGGTCCACGAGTTGGCTAGGCGATGCACGCGGCATTTTTCCAGGTGAGTTGACACCAAAGTGAACATAGAAAACTACTAATTTCGAGTCCCAGCACGATCTAACAGTCAAGTCCAATGAGACGCGAGCTGCAGGGCTGAGCGCGTGGGCTGAGGGTGGTGGAGCCCTCATCTTCCCGGGTCCTACATCTTCCCGGTTCCTACTGCTTCCCTGGCGGAACTTTTTACTGACGTGAACCTATTTAAATAAGGTTCACATACGCTTATGACTCTGGCAAACGCCTTTTCGTAGAGTCGGAGCAAAATTCATTAGCTAACTTCTCCCTCTCCATTCGCTGCTGCCAGCATCTCACTTTTTTTTGAGGAGGGGCTGGCTTTCCTTGTCCGTTAATCATAAGATTCTCCAAAGGTCAGTGCGTGAAGTGCCCACTATCAACGCCTGAAAAGCATTAAACACGGTTTCTGGAATGCAGCATCCGGGCACTTTGGTTTCTGGGCACGGTGTGTGTGTGTGCGCTGATGGTGTGAGATCGCTGCCAGCCTCGGTGGGTGGAAGGGGGGTTTGTCCACGAGGGGCAGAGCTGGGCGTCTTTGCTCCCTGGCTTCATTACCATGTCAATCCCGGGAGCCGGCCTGCTTCCGCGCAGCGGAGGGCCCAGTGCATATGGAGAGGGGAGACCCCTGAAAGAGCGGTGAATAGAAAACCCGCCTGGAATCTGCCTGGGCTTTGTTTCGGGCTGGACCAACTTGCGGGACCCGGGCGGGCAGCACAGATGGCGGTCGGGCGAGGATCTGCCGGGCTCCTCCCTTTTTCTTTTCACCCCCTCCCTTGTCGGGCATTGCCTTTCTTTGCTTCGTGTGGCCTATCTCAGTGGCCTCCCTGAATTGGCTTTGATTTCCTCCCTCCAGGAGAGGCGAGTTAGCTTCAGAGTCGGGCGGGGGGGGGGGACGGACCCAGAGATGAAATGAAACAGCTTACGAAGCCATCAGCATTCAAGTTTCGCTTTTTTTAAAAAATGGAAATTTGAAGAGAGTCCTTTAGGGGATGATTGGAAGTCATTGAAAACCATTAAAAAAAAAAAGACAATGAAAAGTGAAAGGCACTTTGCCCCCCCCCCCCCCGGGAGTTCTTGGGTGGGAGGGAAAGCCATCCCAAAAGAAGAGTTTGAGAGTTTGGTGGCTTTCGGAGACCCAGGGGCGGCTGAAGGACGGTACTGTAACTCAAAGGACTCTGGTGTTATCTACTTCTGCTTCAAAAGTTAGAACAGACGTCACCAGGGAGAGAGGGAGGGCTTTACCCCAGAAAGGTCTTTTCTTGGCTTCCTTCGAGGGAAGCGCCTTGAAATGTTAATCGAGCTGGGTTTTGTTGCCGGGTTTGCATAGAGATGGTGGGAAACAACTCAGATCCCAACAAAACCTTTTGTGATTAATCAGGAAAATCTGGCCCACTGAAGCAGCAAGGAGCTAGAAGTTAGCCTGCTGGGGCAGGGTGCAAAGGCAGTGGCGTGGATGCCAGGCGGTGCGCGGGGGGCGCTGCACTCCAGGCTTGTGTTCCCTGCTCCTTGGCTGTGGCCCAGGCTTTGCTGTCACCGGGAGAGTCTCCTGCATCTCAGGTTTTAAAGCCCTGCGCTTCCCCAGGCTGCTGAGCATTGCTCATTAAGACTCGTGCCAATGAAGTGGTCTAAGAAAAGAAAGCAAGGCATCTTGAAATCAAAGTGTGCCCTCTGCCTGGTGATGGGCTTGATGAGGAGATGCCACAGGCCGTGTGGTGAACTGGAATTTTATTTGGTGCCAGGGAACGGGAAATTTCTGTTCGGCTTTATTTAAGTAGAGACCACCCCTCCACCAAGTATTTTGCATTTAGCATCCATGACGGGAGGGGGGGAGCTTTTGTGTTGAGGGGAGGAAAGGGGTGGGTGAGAACAGCAGTGCTAGCGGGGTCCTTCATGAGCAGAACCTTCAAGCCTCTCCTTTCAGGAAAGGGGAAACTGAGGCTCAGGCCTAAAGCCTGGAGTTGCCACCTGGTCACTGACCTCAGAGTCCCCTCATCTAGTAACAGGGTCTGGCATCATTGCCCTTTGACAGCAGAGGTCCCTTGGGTCACCTTGGTGCAGGGTTCTCAGCCTGGTCCCTGGTGGGGCTCGGATCCCATGATCCTTTGCTGCGAGGTACTCCCCCTTGCTTTGTAGGTTATTTAGTTGCAGCCTGACTCCCCTGGGGTGCCACGTTAGTCTCTGTCAGGGATTCTGAGTCAGGCATGATACTTGAGAGACTGTTCTACCTGCTTGCAGAACACCTTGTTCTGGAATAGCAAGTTATGGACAAGTCCCCTATCCGTAGCATGATGAACGCTCACTTGTGGGATCTGTAGTGAGCACAGCTGTACTCAGCCTCTCATAGCAAACCTAAGGTGAATTTGTTATAAAGGATTTAACTGTAAGCTGGCATAGTGGTATGTGCCTGTCATCCTAGCACTGTGGAAAGCTGAGGCAGGATAATCTCAAAACCAAGCTCAGCCTGGGCACTTTAATTGTCTCAGGGAGACTTGTCTTAAAATTTAAAAAAAACTAAAATGACAGATCCTAGCACCTGGGAGGCTGAGGCAGGAGGATCATTGAAAGTGTGATGCCAGCCTGGGCTATATAGTGAGTTTGAGGCCAGCCTGAACTACACACTGAGACCCTGTCTGAAAACAAAAAATGCACTTGAGTGAATAAATGGTCCTTCCTCATCTGTTGAGATTGCCGTGGAGGCCTCAGGATTGGCATCCAGGAGCAAGTCCCTGAGAGAGCCCGGCATGGCAGGAAAGGTACATCCTGAGGATAGAAGTCACGCCCTCTGCATTCCCCAGGCACCTACTGTGTCTAGAGGAGCTGCTCTTCCTGCTCCCCTTCCTGCTGGGACTGGAGAGAAGCAACTCTGGGGACCAAAGCCAATGACGGAGGTGCTTTGTGCCCCTCTGTCCCTCTTCCTGTCACTCTGTGGTGACCTTGCCTGCTCTTTCAGGCCCTGCTGGCTGCAGGTGACTTCCAAGGCATCCACTGCATCTCCCCCAGGGACCTGCTCCAGTAGCAGTGCTGGGAGCCCCAGCTTCCAGAAAAGCAGGTTTACGCCCAGGCAGGCAAGAGAAGCGGCTGAGAGTTTACCTACGCGGACCAGGCTGGGGTCCACAAAAGGCCCCATTATGAACATCTTGAAAAGAGGCCTCAAAAGAAAGACACAGGTCCCTGGGCCCAGCTTGGCACTAGCTCCAAGGTTTTGTGCAGAGTTGAAAGCCCCAAGGAATGCAAATGGAACCTTTGTGTCGGGTAGGAGACAGCCAGCCTAAGTTTGTCAGCTCAGTTACCTCCTCTGTGTTCTTCAGAATGTTCCAGGTCAGCTGTTGGAGCCCCTGAGGGCACCTGGTATGTAAGAACTAGGGTTCTCTGGCCATGCTTTCTGGGGCTCCCGGGAGTGTCACGCAGGGACATTCGAAGTGGTATGGGGGTCAGAGGTGACAGGAGGGAAGAAGGCAATTTGGGTGCCAAAGCACCCCATCATGGCCTGAGTTTTATGCAAGAAGGTATTGCTGAGATGAGTGAGTGGTTTTGTGGGGGTCAGAGAACACGAGCTTGAGGAACCAAAGATGGCGCCTGCTGGGTGGATCCTGTGCACAGTGTCCTGGCAGTCTCTGCAGTCCAGGTTCAGCAGCTCTGGGTTCTGAGCTAGAATTCAGTGGTTCTAATTTAAGACAGTGTTTTCCATTTGTGTGGGTTTCCTGATGTCAGAAAGAAATCTCCGTGTGTGTGTATATATTACAGACAAGGTGTGATGGAAATATATGGTGAATGTCTTATTTAACAGTTGGTACAGAAAGAGGCCAAGTGCCATGAATTCCCCTCAACATCCTCCCCCTCGCTCTGAATGCACTGGTCCTCTCATCCTTGCTGCTTTCTGCAGCAGCTCTGGAGGCCTCTTTCCTGAAGGTCTTTACCACGTGTGATCACAAACATAGTGAGTGCTGCTACCCAGAGTTACCCAGCAGAAATCCAGGCTCCTAAAAACACAGTGTGTCCTCATCTGCTTTAGTCACCAGATTTGGCCCTCTGTGACTTTCAGCTCTTTCCCAAAGTCACAATGACCACAAAAGGGTAATGTTCTGAATTTGTTCAGGACATCAAGGCAGCCAGGACAGTACAGCTAAAGACCCCCAGGAAAGAGGACTCCAGAGCTGCTGCAGGAAGCGGCAAGGATGGTGGGATGAGTGTATGCAAAGCCAGGGAGAAAGATTTTGAGAGGATTCCTAGCAATGGGTCTTGTACTGTGACAATTTTTAAAATTTAAACATTCACTGTATTTTTTGTTCACACTGTATATGTGTATAGTTCACATACTGTATAAATTACATATTATAAAGATAATATATCTATGCAAATTTTAAAAATATATAACCATAGTCTCCAGGGAAAGTCAGAGATGACCAGCACAAGGGACAACCTGGTCCTCTCTGCCACTCCCTGCTCTCCTGCACCTGTCTGGACTTCAGGTGGTGTCCCCTTCCCTGCAGGGTTGGGCCGATGTGGCCCCCTGCGCCCTGCCTGTGTGTCAGGGCTTTGAGGTGAGGCCAGCTGGGCCTGGTGCTCCATAGGCCAAGTCACACCAACCCGGGAGACTCAGTCCATCTCCAACACCCCTGTTGGGTCTCTTTCCCAGGTGGCTCTAGAGTTCTGTGGTGTTAAGGGATCTTTGTAGACAGAAGTAGAGGTGCACACCTGTGTTCTCAGCACTCTGGGAAGCTGAGGCAGGATAAGTGCAAGTTTGAGGCCAACCTGGGCAAGTTAGTGACTTAGGGAGATTTGGTCTCAAAAGTTAAAAAAAAAAAAAAAAAGGGTGGGGATGTCTCTCAGTGCAAAGGTGCTGGGTTCAATCCCTGGTACTGCAAATAAAACACAACTAAACAGAACAAAACAGAAACCCTTTCATTCAGCTCTTTCCTTTCCCCGCATCTCCACATGGAGAAGAAAAACAGCAAGAGGGGTGAAAACTCCCTCGAGAACAAGATGAACCCTGTGCCCCTGGAGAAAATGAGCCGCTGTTAAAGTGACCTCGAAACAAACTTGAAGAAACACGACAAGACACTGTGGAGAGGACGGTGAGGAGAGAAGGCACCCAGCGACTGTGTACAGGTGTTTCTGCGGGCTCTGCCCAGCTCCCAGGAACCAGGAGTTGCAGGAGTCACTGGGTGCTCTCTGCTTTCAGCATTTGCATCTGTCTGTCTATCCATCCGTCTTGATTCATTTACTTGACAATGCTGGAGAGGAACACAGGACTCCCTGAGCTACAGCCCCAGCTCTCCCCACCTTTTAAAATTAATTTAATTTTTTTTTACTTTTAAGTGAATAAAACCTAACAAAACAGAATAAAGCCAATCAAAACAGTGAAGGTGATACAGGACTTCAAAACAGGGTGATAGGAAATCAGCAGTGGCTACCAAAATGCCCCTTGTCACTGTTGTAATCCCAAATACTGAATACAATTATCCAAGTATTGCAATCTCTTTTCCAGTTTTCCTCACAATCCAAAAAGTTATATTTGTAATCCCATTGAGACATTATTGGAATCTTGGAGCTGACTGACTCTGCCATCCTGATGTGCTCATATCTTTTACAGAGAGCACTATGCGAGGAAACAGGGGTCTGATGGCTTTAGAGATTACATATCAGTACCTCGGCTGGCCTTATTTGCAATGCTTAGAATCAATTGAGAGAAGGAAATACCGTAGTCGCTTTGTATATATCAGTATAAGGAGATAAGTCTCCATATAATCAAAGTTGCAGCAATTGTTCTGCATTCAAGGGGAGACACTGAAGTTGTCTCCTACAGTTACCTTCAAAATAGTTGTCCATTCCATCAGACGTGGTAAAATCAAACAAAACACAATGGCATAAAACCAATCAAAACAGAGCATTGAATAAAACAGCAATCGGAACAAAATAGAACAATATTGGATTTCAAAAACAAGACAGAAGGAAATCCCTTATTTGCTATACTGCATGCTGTCATCCTCCCAATAGATGCTCAGACCACCGGCCTTAGTCCTGCAAAGTCAATCAAACAACACAGGCTTTCTGTTCTTTTTAAAGTAGAGACAAGGTCTCATTAAATTTCTAGGTTGGCCAGGCTGAGACTGAATTTTCACTTCACCTGTCTCAGCCTCTCAAAGTGCTGGGATTCCAGGCATTGGCCACCGTACCTGGCTCAGAACGAATCCAGTTTTAGTTTGCTTTAGTGGGCTGTGCGCCTGCCACCTGGGGCCTGCCTGTCACTGCTGGGCACTGTGTGTGAGGGGGTTGGGGGACCCTGGGGCAGGCGGGGAGGAAGTTCCCCATTGAGCTCTAGGTGGGCTCCCGAGCCATCCTTCATCTGCAGAGAGCCAGGAGCAGCAACCCTGGATCTGGCTCCTCTGGATATGGGGAGCTGGATCCCCACTCAGCAAATGCCTAGGCTCTGGGCTGGGAGAGGAAGGCTAGGGGAGAGTCCTCAGGTCGCAGACTCCTGAATCCCCGAGGAAGCTCTGCCTGCCCTGGGAGTTCTGGCCAGTGTCCTTCTGGCTAGCTCCCCTCACTGACACACACCCCACCTTGCCTCATCTAGATCACACAGATGGGGGTGAGGGGAGAGGTAGGGGCCCAGGGCACAGCGAAGGATTTGAACTTCAGAAGTGGGGAAGCCTACAGGCAAGAGCCAGAGAGGGTGAGGGGCCATGGAAGGTGTGGCTCACGAGGACAGACGGGAGCAGGGTGCCCAGGCAGGGGAGAAGCAGGCACTCAGACCCTGCTGTCTAGGACAGGCCAGGTGCGTGACCCTGGGTGGGGTGAGCTGACTCAGCGCCCAGGCTTGGGCAGGAAAGTTAATGATCAAACCCTCAAGCCACCCCCAAGGCTGACCCTGATGGCCCCACGGGAGCTGGTAGGAGGCTCTGGCCCTGAGCCAGAAAGACCCTGGCTTTTGTAAACTGCCTGGCTCAGGAGTGAGCGCTGCTGATGAGGAAAATCACTTTGGCTTGTGCTGCATCAAGTGGAGCTGGGCACAGTGACTGCCTTGCTGTGGGCAGTGGGTGCATGGATGGGGCACAGCTCACTTCTCCTCCCCTCTCTTTCCTCCCCTCCCTACTCCTCCCCTCCCCTCCCCTCCCCTCCCCTCCCCTCCCCTCCTTTCCTCCATCTCTTGGTCCCCTTCTCTTTTGCACAAGATCTGTCTCCCTATTTCTTCATATCCATGTTTTATTTTGCTCTTTAATTTGTTTGTACTTTTGGGCATCTCATATAAGAGAAACCCTGTGATATTCAAGCTGTGTGTCGTCTGATTTATCTCACTGGACATGGAAGGATCGGGTGCATCTATTTTCCTGCAAATGACTCACATTTGTCCTTGATGGCAGAGTAGTGTACTCCAGTATATACGAATACCACATTTTCTTTATCCATCATCTATCAATGGACACATAGGCAGCTCCCAAGCTTTAGCTATTGTGAACCACACAGCTCTAACTGTGGGTGTGCGTGGGTCCCTGTAATATGACGTCTTTCTCTTTCAGGAAGGCGCCCAGGAGGGCCGTGGCTACCTGGAAAGGGTTTCCGAGTTTCAGTTTCTTAGGAATGCCCACACTGACTTCCACAGTGGTCTGCTCATTTACATGCCCACCAGGAATGGGGGAGGCTTCCTCTTCTTCCCCACAGCCCCACCAGCATTTGTCGCTATTGATTTCATGATGATAGCCGTCCTTTTCAGAGACAGAATCTCAGTGTTGTTTTAATTTTCATTTCTCTGATGACTGGCATGCTGAACATTTTTTCAGGTCTTTATTGGGCCTTTCTACTTCTGAGAAGTCTCTACCCGTTTCACATGGCTGTTTGTTGATTGGGTCCTTGATAGGGAGGGCCCTAATGTTTCAAGTTCTTTATATATTCTACATGTTGTCTTCTGTCTCAGGAATGGAATAATCGGCCTCAGGCTGGGGGAGGGGCATTAGATGACCTTTCTGGGTGCACTGGGGTGGTCAGCCTGCCTCTCCTGTTGGGGCAGCGGAGGCTGAGACATACGTGGGTGGGTTCCTGCCTTTGAGTTTCTGGAAGTGGCCAGTCTTCAGCCCTGTGACCCTTGATGGCCTTGCGGCTCCTGTAACGGGACCTGCTCCCCACCAATGCAAGGCCTGGTCCCTTACCCTCTCTAGGTTCTGTATCTTCCCCCACCCCCAGGGCCTGGCCTCTCATCCTCTCCAGGGTCTGTCCCTAGTGTGAACCCTTTCTGACAAAGTGGCCCCCGCTGGGCTTCAGCCTCAGGCCATCTTAGTCCTGCTCTTGGGAGCCTGGCCCTGTGCCCCTGATATCTCCTCCTCTGAGCACCCTGAGGACTCACAGCACCCTTCCTTTGGGGTCCCTGGTCTGGAGGATCCCAGGGCTGCCCTCCCACTCCAGCCTAAAGCACAGCAGCAATACCACCTCCTCCCCTCTGCTGTCCCCAGTGCCTGGAGCCGCTGGGCATCCTGAAAGCATTGCTGTCCCATAACAATGGCAGCACACAGAACAGGGAAGGGACCCCCTGAAAACCAATTTCTCCTCCTAGGCGAGGACCTGGGTCCGAGGACTCTGTGACCACAGAGTGTCCACAGGCAGCAGCTTCCTTGGGCCTTGGTATATCAGGGACCTGGCCAAGATCCCCCACTGCCTGTATGAGGGGAAAGGTGTAAAATAAGAAACAGATCACTTTAGCAATGCACGACCAGCGCTAGGAGGTCAGTGCCTCGGGACGGGCAGAGACCCAGATACTCCACACCAGCCACAGTCTTGGGTGTGTGAGATGCAGTGGGCAGATACAGTGATAGGAGGGGCTAGCGGAGGGTTGGAGGCGGGTAACCTGGCAGGCAGTGGATGATCTGGGATGACTCAAGAGGGCGGAGCTGACTTTATGCTAAGAAGAATCTTACTCCAGAGTGTTCTTTTCCATTTTAGTGGTCTAGTCTCAGTGGGAGAGGGTGGCCCATCCCCAGAGTTAATGGGAAGTCTCAAAAGGGTGGTACCATAATCCCAAACCTCCATTTATCCTTCCGGGAATGATGCAAAGTTAGCCACTGTGAATTTGTGGTTCCCCAGTATTGGTGGGCAAAATCATGGCCCCCATGAGATGTGTACACCCTAGGCCTCAGTTCCCAAGAAGTTGGGGATTCAAGATGGTTTAGTCAAGTGGACTCGATGTCACCTGAGGCCTCTCCCATGGGGAAAAAGGCAGGAGAGTCTGGGCTGTATGACATGGGACACTTAGTAATCATGGCTGGCTTTGAAGGTAGCAGGAAGCTTCTAGAAAACTCTCCCCTCAAGCCTCCAGAGAAAACACAGCCCTATATGTACCATGATGTTGGCTGGTGAGACCCATTTCAAATTTCTGATTTCTGGAACTTGAAAGTAATAATACATTTGTTTCATTTTAAACACTACGTTTGTGGAAATTCATTAGGGCAGCAGTGGAAAAAGACCCTCCCAGCGCCATCTTTACTGGTGGTGGGTTTCAGGAAGCACAGGCCTATGGTGGCAGCTGGGCCGCAGGAAGTGAGGAATCTACACAGGAGATTCCAAAAGTGTCTCACCTCATTTACCAGCGTGGCTACACCCATCGGTGCCAAGCTTGAACTCAGAGATACAGGGTTGTTTTGTTCCCTCGTAGTTAACCTGAAACCCTGACTCAGGACATTTCCTCACAAGCTCTGGGCAGGTGGCAAATTGTGGGCTTCTGGAAGTTTCTCTCCTGAGGTGGTGGCTGGTTGGGTGGGACAAGAATGGAGGACAGAGGTGAGGTGACTCTGGAAGGCTCTTCAGCTGGGGTCCAAGGGCTCAAGAGGACGAGGGTGGCTTTGAGGTCACAGAGCCCCAGCAGTGACCAGCATGGCTTTCTGGTGGACACTGAGTGCTGGAAGGTTCCATGACAGTGCCCAGCCCATCTGGGATGAAAGCCATTATGTTTAGACTCAGCGAGGATAGCAACTTGTAAAAACGAATGTTTTGAAAATAAAATTTGAGATCCCCCCCTTCCCCTTGTATCTGGGATTGAACCAAGGACCTACACAACAAGCTAATCCCCAGCCCTTTTTAATTTATTCTTATTTAGTTTTGAAGCAAAGCCCTAATTTGTTCAATTGCCCAGGCTAGACTTGAGCTTATGATCCTCCTTCCTGTCTCAGCCTCCCAGGCAGTGAGATGATACACATGGGCCACCATGGTTGGCTAACATTTGAGAATTTTAAGTTTGGAGTCAGTAAAACCAATAGCAGTATTCCATGGTAAAGTACATTTATGAGCACTTATTCTATTGTTTTATAGGTAAAAAATACAGGTGCAAGACTATTAAATACTGTAACAGTAGCCCAGAGCCCTTTAAAATACATTTTTAAATAGAAGTATAGCATGCACAGAGAAGCATTTATATGTCTATGAAATGGCATAAGACCATAACATTCCTCTGTGCACTAGAATTCTCTTGATTTGGTGTTTTGAGACAGGGTCTCACCACCATGTTGCCCAGGCTAGCCTTGAGCTCCTTGTGTAGCCACAGGGGTACATGCAGGTACATGTTCCCTGGCTCTTTCCTGTGCATGCAGGCGACTAGGAGGTCTGATCCCAGGAAGGACCTCAGGCCACTGCACTTGGGGATGACAGTGAAGGTCACAGATGGTGGCACATTTTCACTTCCCAATCTACCATTTGCACTTGTCGAGGAGAAATTAGAACTGTGCTGCTCTCTGAATGTTCGCAGGCCTGAAAAACCTGAGAGGTGGCTATGGTGACACTTGCCAGGTCCTAGGTGTCTGCTCCTTAATTAGACATCTTAAAGGTACAGCAAGATGAGAGGGAGCAGATGTGGTCTTTCCCTTGGGAACTTTTCTTTCTCAATCCCAAATAAGCAGATATAAGTATAAAGCTCCAGAACTTTACATTTGTTGTTTATTTGAGACAGGGTTTCACTGTATTGTCCAGGCTGGCCTTGAACTCACTGTGTAGCTCAGGCTGAACATGACCCTCCTGTCTCAGCCTCCTGAGTAATGAGAGTGCAGGCCTGTGTCCCCATCACAGAACAGACTTGGGGGCTTTGGAAATCCTGCCTCACCCGCGTGACCCCACTGGCCCTGTCAGCCTCCAGGCCTCATGGCCACAGCTGCTGAAAAAATGATCAGGGGATCAGGGATATAGCTCAGCACTTGCCTGGCAAGTGTGAGGTCCTGAGTTTGATTCCCAGTACCCACAAAAACAAAACAACCCCCCCCCCCCGCCCCACCGCTCCACAAAAGATCAGGTTGGTCAAAAAACGTGTGTGGGTTCTCATAAGTCCTGAGAAGTTTGTGTTGTTCCATTCCTCAACCACTTTCCACTGGGAAGAGAGTGCGGCCCTAAATCTGCCATGCAGCTGCTTGGGGGTGGACGACACCCTCCACTGTGCTGAAGAAACACCTGCTTCTAGTGGCTGGGCCCTGACATAAAAAAAGGTCAGCGGCAGGCCCCTGTGGCCGGTACCGCTGCCCCAGGGAGGGCTCCTGGAGACGGAGGGGCAGGGCCAGCAGCTCCCTCCATCACCTTCTGTGGGGCTCAGAGTAAGAGGAGCCCCAGGCCAGATGAGTGGGGTGGTGCAGGTCAATGATTCCCAGCACCTGGGAGGCTGAGGCAGGAGGATTGCTGCAGGCTGGGCTACACAGCGAGTTCAAGGCCAGCCTGAACTACATGGTGAGTTCCTGTCTCAAAAATAAAACAAACAAACAAAAAAAGATTTACTCTTGTAAATCTTTTTCTCAGGGCAATGTTCCTTCTCACTGCCTGCCCCAGTGAACAAGATGCTGCAGACAGACACCTTCCCCTGGGGTTCCTAGAACCTTCAGTGGCCTTCACTAGATCCCAACACCGCGTGTCTCTGCTTCCTTGCTCAGGAGTGCGAAGGGGCAGTGGGAAGAGATTGACTTGCCGCCCTTCTAGGTTGATTTTAAAGTATAAATAAATTTGGGCCTCCAGTGAGGAACGTGTTGAGATCAGGATGCACTGTCTCGCTCCCCTCTTAAAACTTTGGTGCTTTTTTTTTCTTTCTGTGGCACATTGAATCCTGGGCCTTTTTCAATTAAATTTATTTCTTTCTATTTAAAGGCAGAACCTTGCCTTGCTAGTTTGATAGCTCAACCTGGGCTCAAACTTGCAGCCCTCCTGTCTCAGCCTCCCCAGCAGCTGCAACTCCAGGTATTTGTCACCATGCTGGCCATCTTGGGGTTTGACTGCAGCTGCTTTTCGGAGTCTGGTTTTTCCAACGAGACAGGAGGTTAGCAGCCTCCCTGGGTACTGGGCACCGTGCTCAGAGCATTGTGTGTTTTAACTGCCCGAGTTTACCCCCACCCCTGAGGAAGCTGTCACTGTGACTTCTGTTTAAAGTAGCAGTGGGGAAACTGAGGCAGGGGAGGAGTAAGCACATCATCCCAGCTCGAGCACTTCTGGGGACTTG